GGGAGCAGCTGATCTGATGCACCGAGAGGGGCTATAGGGATGCAGCAATTCTGTAAGATAAAACGGGGCCAGGCAATTTAAAGACTTAAAAACAAATAAAAGAATTTTAAAATGAACTCTAAAACACACCGGCAGCCAATGTAGAGAAGCCAAAATGGGTGTGATATGGTCCCTTTTGCGCCCTCCAACCAGTAGACGAGCAGCAGCATTTTAGACTCTCTGAAGGCAGGCAAGGGACGCCTGACTGAGCCCAAAATATAGTGCATTACAATAATCCACACGAGACGTAATAAATGCATGTATTACCCTCTCAAAATGCTGCCGTGAAAGAAAGGGCTTCATCTTTGCCAGCTGCCGGAGGTGATAAAAACTGGCCCGTACAACTGCATTCACCTGATATTCCACTCTAAGAACAGATTCTTGATGATTTATAAATTCAGTATGTTTACCACCCAAAACTATGTACTGTTAATGTATGCACTCAATAATAAACGCAGTAGTATTAGGTTTACTGAACACAACAGGACCATGTGAACCACCAGAAGATCTGACCAATTATAGACTATTCTTGAGGATAGTAGGGCAGGGGGAAAGATGACACCTGATGCTGTGTATATGAACTGTTAATTCGGTGTCGTCGTCGTCGTCCCACGAACCTAAACACGACAGGAAGCAGCTTTTATTTGCATTAGACAGCTCCATGTTACTATGTCTACATGTATATGCTTCACTTGTAGAGTCAATTTTCTTGTTCAACAGGTGACCTAGAGGGAGTTATTTGGGCCAAACACTATAACTTCGGTTTTCGTGTCATTTAACTTCAATAGATTTAAAGCCATCCAGTTCCTAACGTCATCATAACATGACAGTAAAGAAACTGAGGATGTGTCCCTTCCCCTTATTGGCATGTACATCTGCACGTCGTCTGCATAACAATGAAAAGAAACACCATGTTTTCTGAAAATAGAGCTAAGAGGAAGTAAATATAAAGAAAAGAGCAGGGGCCCCAAAACTGAGCCCTGCGGAACCCCAGATACCAACGGGGTGAACAAGGACTCAACATCAGCAATACCAACAGACATCGTCCTATCATAAGACCTGAACCACTCCAAGGCAGTACCACGGATGCCCACTAACTCCTCAAGTCGAGATAATAGGATATATTGTTATAGTTACCACTGAAGCACTTGAATAGAAGCCTTCATTATGTCATCCTGTAGCTGTTTTGCCATCACACAGGGGTTTTTCTTAGCTGTCCTGACTAAGTTGCTAAGGGCCCTTGATGAAATTGTGGGCTTTCTTCCACGGCCAGGCAGGTTTGCAGCTGTTCCATAAGTTTTAAACTTCCTTATATTGCTCCCAATGGTGTCTCTTGGAATGTTAAATCTTTTGGAAATCTTCTTATACTCAAGGCCCTTCAGATGTGATGAAATAATCTCCTCTCAGCTTTTGTGGTCCTTTGTCTTTCCCATGATTGCAACTCAGATTGAAAACCTTCATGGTCAGGGTTTATATATGCATCACAGCTGAAGCAAATGAAGGATCGTTATAGAGTTCCCAAAGGCTTAATGATGTTTCAGCTCCAATTTAGGCCATAAAAACTGTCAGAAAGCTTTAAAAACAACAACAATATTATATAGGGGTTGAATAATTGTGACATGGCTATCTTAACAAAATATACTGTTACACACAAATACTACATCATACATTTTCTGTGTAGATTTTATGCATCACTCAACTCAAAGACGTCATCCAAAGCAGAATCCTGCACTTTGAAAAGATTTTTATTCATAAATCCTTAAAACATATATATTTTTTTTTTTTGAGAGAGAGAGAGAGAAATAGAAAGAGCTGCTGTACCAGAGTCAAATTCCTCGTGTGTCCAACACACCTGGCCCTAAAGCTTATTCCGACTATTGCAAACAAAAGCCTTAGCCTAAAAACAAAGTCAATAACCAAACCTGTGTCCAGTCAGTCTTCTTAAACCTCCAGACACCTTCAGGACCACTGACAATGTGATGGATCCACTTTATCCTTTGTCATTAGAGCCAGTTTCTATGTTCACTTTTTGTAATTACCATCCCAGTGAACAGCACTAGTATAGATCCATTAAACAAATCCAGCAGCAGCTAACGGTGCAAAAAACCTGAAAGGTTCATTTTAACGAGGACCGTCTTTTTATTCCAAATACAACAGGAATTCCGAATGATATACTCCTCCTCTGTGTGATGGAAAGACCGACCAATGAATCAGAATCCCATTTGAGACTTCTTCTTCTTGGGTTGAGATGCCTGCGATGTCTGGGACAGCCCCAGTCGACCCTGTGACCTCTGGGACAAAGACTGGGAGAACCCTGGCTGGACAATGTCGCACTGGGACAGATCTATCCTGAAGACCCTCTGAGAGGACTGCGAGCTGTGGAGCTGGGAAAAGGAAGGGGCCACATCTGGGGGTTGCAGAGTACTCCCCTCCTCCAGGGCATAAATGTTGTGCTGCAAGGTACCATCCTGGAAACAGAGCAGAAACAGTTGCACTCTGCAGATCAAGACAGATGGAAACCAACTTTTGCCAATTCAAAGATCATTACCACCAGTGAGGTGAAAACACTACATCATCCTGAGAATTTCTCCTGTGGAAAGGTCATGCTGTTACATAAACTGGCTGAAGCTGAACCTGTTAATCATATGCATGGACGTGTGGATTCCTGGTGGATTACTTTGTAATGTGAACACATTATTTCTGCGTTTACCTCAAGCTGTATCGGGGGCATCCTATGCAGTCATGTTTTACTGGATGATAGTGCCCCTGTGACTGGAATAAAGTTCTCTACCTACCTGCCAACCAGTTTACTGATTGATCAGTAGTGGCCTGTACCATGATGTGACTTCTCTTAGTCTCATCTGTTGAGGGTTATCTGGCTTCATTCAGCATATCACTGACCACCCGGGTGTTAAGTGGTGGTTCAAAACTGGCCAACTTTGAAGCCTGAATTGCTCATTAGAAGCAACATTACCAGAACTACGAATGAAATACTAGCTTTAATATGAGGTGACCTGTAAACAACATGGCCACTTGCCACATTAAGTAGAGTAAGAAGCTGTAGAAACATTAGATATCATTTTGAAATTTCAAAATAAGCTTAAGGATACACTGTAAATAAATAAATAAATGAATGCAGAGATAATAATAAAAGGTCTTATTGATTTGCTCTATTTTTAAATCAAGCAAGCCTGGAATAGCAAAATGACTAATACACAATATCTACTGCTCTTATGAGTCATCACTTTATTGTACATTCTTTTGTCCACACCAGGATCCTGTACAAATGATGATTCAGTTTATCCAGTGACCTCGCTGGTTAGTGGCCAGACCTTTAACAGGTTGTGGACTGATCTCTGACACTAACCTGCCGTGCAGCTCAAGTTACCATGGTGATCTGCTCAAAGCTAGCTGGCTAACCCACTAATGTCACTTCATGACACAGGCCCCTGATCTGATGGTGTGTAAAGACAGTGGCTGGGCTGTTGTGGAAACAGGTTTAATGTAATAATAATAATAATAATAATAATAGTGCATGATTTGTACTAGCGTAGGAAACCTGTGGAAACTGGAATGATAGGACCAGCAGCAGATAATATGCAGAATATTTGCAGCTGTTCTCTTGCTCCCTCAAACTGTTTCTATTTGTGGTATTTCTATCAGTCACATTCTAACACCACAATATATCTGTATTAAGTGTTGGGGCAGCAGTCATCAGACACCAGACATGTGTTAGATGGATAACACAAGCTGTTGTAAGTCAACTTACAGAAATGACAACTCTTAAATCTACATTCTCCTTCTGTTGTTATGACAGATGTTAAGTCGCCTGCTCCCAGCCATAGCCTCCACAGCTTCTGGCACATGAGCAAACATGGTTAAAAACATGACACCAACTTCTTTCCTCTTACCTGAGGTGAAAACAAAGTGCTGAGGAGCTCCTCTGATGGATGTCTGGTCCTCCTCTGACTCGCTGGTGTAGACTCATGTTTGACTGTCTGTGACATAGAGAGCATGCGGGAGCAGCTGGGAGTCTGATGGCCATCTTGTTTATCTTCAACACTTTGAGATGTTGATGTGGGATCTGGGGTGTCATTTTGTACTTTGGAGGGTGTTGCAGATCCTGGTGTCCCATGCTTCAAAAAGCTCTCCAACTTGGACAATGGCCCTGTCCCCTCAGTATCTGACCACCTTCCCTGGCTCGTCGCTGAGGACCAGCCTGTCGAATCAGAGAAATCGTCCAGCTCCGACTGGTAGCTGAGAGATGAAACGAAGCTCCCAGACAGCTCCAGGCGCTGACCTGCAGCTCTCTTCGCCTCCTTCTCCCTCCTCCTCTTTCTCCTTAGAGCCTCTGTCTTCTCCTCTTTGTTCAGCTCTAGGTGGTCCACCCACCATGCCCGCCATGCTTCCTCCCCCTGCCAAGAGAGGGTCAGGCGGTGGCTCAGCTGATCTGTCCAGACTTCTGTTTCCACCAGGTTTGGCACTGGTACCACATCTGTTGCCCCGAGGGAGGTGGAGACAGCGCTGTGAAGCAGCAGCGAGCGTTTGGACATGCACGCTCTGAGATCTTGCCTCAGGCTCTGCACACGCTCTTCTTCTGTTGAATCTCTTGCTGCCACATCAGGCAGGCAGAGGAGGCCTTTAGTTCTGATTGTGAAGTACTGCAAGCCGTGTGGGCGGGGCTTCTTTTCACAATTCTTTTGCATCAATTTCTGGAGCCAGTGTTTCCAGGTGTTGAGAGCATGTTTGCTGAGCTTTACTACATGCTGCCGCTCTGAGGGTACAACGTGACCTAAGCTACTGGAGCTGCAGACTGTTTCGTCCACACCACCATGTTCCTTAGGCTCACCAGCTTTATCTCCCCCCACCTGTCTGTCTTTCACTCCTGCTTGCAATCCACTCACTTGATCCAGCTCTGGATCGTCGTTGACAACAATCTTCAGATTCTGACCTCTCTGTTCAGACTCTGAATCCTCAGAGAAAGAGTCAGAGAACATGTTCACCGCTTGATAATTCCTCTCAGGTGTTTCAGCCACAACCCTCGGCCCATTTGGACTTGGAGTTGGCCCAATCATGCCCTCATCGCTCGATGTGTCCGATACAACCAGCTCAGAAAATGGTGGAAGTAATTCTGCTGTCTTTTCCCCTGATGTTGTGGCTTCTATTGCCATTGGCTGTGACAGGTGTTTGGCTGCTTGTGGAGGCAGCGGTTTGTCCTCTGCTGGAGGCCGAGACGTGTCAGCATCTGGCTGCTCGGGCTTGAGGAGCTGGTAGAAAATATCTCCTGCCTCTGTCAGCTGTAGGATACAGATGCACTCCTCGCCAGCTGATTCTCTTCCTGTTTTCTTCTGAATACAAGTCAGACCTGATAAACAAAGGTTAGAGGAACACTGTCAATTATGAAGTGAAATACCTTTGTGAAGCTGGAGCCAGCTGGGCTTTGTTGACAGTACCTGGGAATGCCACTGTTTTTGAGGTGCAGCATGCAGTCACAGCATCTAGGTATAGCTAGTCAACAAATAACTCCCATGCTGTTTGTCAGTACCACCACAGTGTCTCCGTATTACATTTCTTATTCTCTCTCCCCCCTGTTAAACAACAAAAACCTCTTTTGCAAAAGTTACCAGGCTGCGGACATCAATCGCTGTTTGTGTTTCTATGTGTGTACGGTATATACTGGTGGAAACTGTGCAAACAAAATTTCATTGCTACAATTTTTCAACCTTCACAGGCTTTGTAGGTGAAAATTTCAGCAAGCCAACAATATCTCCTTTCTCTCAGCAGTGCAAACACACCTGCCTCTGCATGCAAAACAGATTCCATCACGAGTTCATATAAGAAATGTGGCACAACGATGCACTGTATTATCTCACAGCTGGAGGGTTCCTTCCATTCACTCATTGGAGCATTGGGCCAGAATATGAAAAGAAACTTTCCAGAAATCTAGCACACTGCTGTCATATATTAATGCCAAATTCATTAAACTTTTCCTTGTTGAATACTGTTGTCGGCATTAATAAAAAGATCTAAAACTCTGTCTCGCCTATTCTTACCTGCAGCAGGTACAGACAGCCTGTTGGTTGCCGTGTCCAGGCGGTGAGGAATCTGCACAGGAAGGTGTTTCAGGCTGTCTCTGGGTCTGAGCAGAGCCTGAGCAGGGCCTTGACTGAAACAGGCCTCAGCCCTGCCCCCTGAACACAGTGACAGCATTACAGAAAGTTTGTACGGAGCCTGGACCACAACACTAAAGCACTGAGGGGAATTATCATTCAACTAGTAAAAAAAGTCATTTTATTTTTAAATGATATCAAAGCACTTACAAACTCAATTTGTCTCATCATGCCATCCCCCACTCCCTGTTGACTGACCTGAGTACTGCAGCAGGGTGATCTCCTGAGAACTGTGGGAGCCCAGCAGGACCTTCGTGGCTCTAGCCCCATCCAATGCTGAGCCAGAGGAAGTGGAGCCAGGCAAGACATGACAAAACATGGGCGGGGACTGCATCATGTGATCCCATTTGAGCATGGGCACGCAGGGGAAGCGCTCGTCCATGATATAGGCCGAGTACTGAGAGAAAAAGACAGAAAGAGGTGCGGGTGTTTGGGCGGAGTGGTGGGTCGATAAAATGATGTGATATCATCTGAATCAAATCTAATGTTATTTTCAAAATATCTCAGGCTTCTCATTTTTAGCCAGTGCTCACCTTTACATTTTCAGGTTTGGCACTGTCTGATGAAAATAATGTTTAAAGCTGTTAGCAACTTGACCAAAACCCAAAATGAAACATGCCTACGCTAAGGCTGTGTGTCTGCGTGCGCTGAGCACCATAGCCGGGCTGCAGACAACATCCACAGGCTTTAATCCTCATCTCAGGGGACTTTAACCATGCTTCTCTCCCCTTCTCTGCCACCCTCCCTAACTTCAAACAGTATGTTAATTGCCGCACGAGGGACAATAAAACTCTGGACCTACTGTATGCAAATGCCAGAAATGCATACACCTCCGCCGCCCTCCTGGTCGTGCTCACCACAACCTTGTCCACCTGATTCCTGTGTATACTCCAGTGGTGAAAAAGGTGTCACCACAGGTCAGGGTAGTAAAGGTATGGACAGAGGAGGCAATTGAGCATGAGGGACTGTTTTCACACCACAGACTGGGACACCCTCTGCAGTCCTCATGGTGAGGACATAGACGGCCTCACACACTGTGTTTCGGATTACATAAACTTCTGTGTGGAAAATACTGTACCATCCAGGAGAGTACGGTGTTTTCCTAACAACAAGCCGTGGGTGAGTCCCGAGTTAAAAGTACTGCTAAATAAGAAGAAGAGGGCTTTCCTCTCAGGGGACAAGGAGGAGCTGAGCAGAGTGCAGTGGGAACTAAAGTACATGATCCGGAGGTGCAAGGCTAGCTACAGGAAGAAGCTGGAGCAGAGCATGGAGAATAACAACGTGCGTGAGGTGTGGAGAGGCCTGAAACACATCTCGGGTCATGGTAAAAGTGGAGATGGTCACCAGGTCGCGGGGGACAAGGCCTGGGCAAATGAACTGAATCTGTTTTTTAATAGATTTGACTCTACCCAGTCCTCAGCCCCCCCCGACTTACTTCTCCAGGTCAGTTGTCTCCCTGCAGCCGCAGCTGCTCACACCTCAGCTAGACCGTGCCACTCCTCCCACTGTCACGGGGGTTTCTCAACATCCCACAGTGGGA